ATGACCAGCACCACCTGCTGGTCAAACGGGGAAGGGGCACGGAAGGACCACAGTGGGGGGCTGACCCTGACAGTGTGTGTGTATGAATACTTGCTCGATCCATTGTTCCATTTTTGCTGTGGCAGTAGCTCATCGCCCTGCTGAATGACCAACATCTTGCCCATCTTTATGGCTTATGGGAGCAGCTTTTCCTCCAGGTGTCATGCCCCGATCGTCCGCTCCTTTCGTGTGCCACGCCCCCTCATTAACCCCATGTGGATTCCCCGTGTTTACTAGCTGTTCCCGATCGTTGTCAATTAGTCCATTGTATTTAGTCCGCGTTTCCGTTTGTTTCCCCAGTCCGGTCATTGTAATGTCAATCTGCATTGTTGCGTTTATTGTCATTCTGTTATTACCTGCCTTTCCTGTGATTAAACCCCGTGTTCCCCGAATCCTGGCTTCCTGCTCGTCTGTCTGCGCTCCGGGTGCTTTACATCATGACACCAGGATCTCTCTGTGTTGTGCAACATCCATCTCCCCAACGGTTCTGACCAGATTGCCAGTCCCTGCTGCTGACTAGATTGCCAGTCCCTGCTGCAAGCATTTTACGGGGTGGGGGGGGTTGTTACCCCACTGGTGTTCAGTGTTAGATCACTATTTAGTATATCATTTTAAGTTCCATTTTAGTTTCATCAGTAGACTTTCTTTGCGAATTCCTAAAGGAAAGGACATGTTTTTTTCAGCCAGATCTTCTTTCTTGCCACTCTCCCATAAAGGTAATTTTTGTAAAGTGCCTTGCAGATTTTTGAGCTGTGAACATCACCTCCAGTCGCAGTCACTGACTTCCACCAGACAGAGTGACAGTTAGGATCACAGTGGCCTTTTGGCCACGTACTCTTAATTTCAGGGACTAACTTTAGAGGGGGAGCCTGACCTGAGCTCAGAATTAAATTCAGTGCGTTTGAAATGGTCTTCTGCCCTTTGCAGATCTGTGCTTCTCTGTTATAAAATGCCCATAATACCGGTATCTCTACAATAATATTGTCTTCATTTTGCTTTCCTTTGTGTAAAATCTCCACCATATTGTTGCACATTAGTGAGGAGTGGGTATTTTTCCCAACTAGCTAGCTAGCTAACTAACTAACTACCCATTTCCCAGGTGGAAATCATTTACAAATTGAGGAAGCTGGTAAGGTAATACACTGCACATGAGCAAAGTTAGCTTTATGTTGACAAAGGGCATAAATACAATTTGCATCTCACAAATTCTTAGTACGTTTAGTACATTAGTACAGTACATAGTAAGTTTAAAATGGTATTGTTTGGTTTGCCATGATTTGCAGTTTTTTCTTGTTTCTTTTTTTCTTCAATACAAGTTTAGAATCGGATTCAATAAAATGTGAGAATAGTATTGGGGGCTGGATAATTTTTCTAGGCACTGCCTACATTTACTGCCCGCTTGTCTGTGTCAGCCTTGATTTCTGCCAGCCTTTGATGTCTTCACTATTGTACAAATATGCATCACAGAAAACATAGCAAGCAAAACAGCTCCGGAGTTTTCTATCCAAAATGGTTGCAAGTGTAGCCTGAATCAGGCCACTAATACACATCAGCTGCCAGAGCTTCCTGGAGTTAAGAAAGACATTCATCTGAGGATATACTTCAGTTTCTTCATTAACGCTTATCAAGGCTCCAGGGCCTTCTGTGCAGGCTTTCGTGCTCCAAAGTAATTCTTGTTTCCCTTCAAGTCTTCATGGATTCAATCCTCATTTTAAGACGCAAGTCCAGTTCCAGCAGAAGGATAAGTCTCGCTTGACAGAGATAACCGACTCCTGTGTGCAGGGTGATTTTGCTGGAAGAGACTTGGAGGAAGGCAGCGGAAATCTTCTATGAGGTTCATTAAGACCTTTATGTGTCTGTCAGTTTTAAACAAAGGAAACATGATGATTTGTTAATCACATCTTGCGTTGTTGCGCATGGCAAAGATATGCCCACCGTGTGCCGAAGAGCAGATAGTGATCAGCCTAAGCTTCGAAACGCTGACCTAAGGATTACAGTAAAATGTGCTAGATTCCAGAACTGTCGCTAACACAAATTTGTGACACTGTCAGCCACCTCATTACACTCCCTGAGCACAACTTGTTGCACAGATAATGAGAGAGTAAGACATTGGGGTATTATAGTAATTTTCTTGTGTTGCCAGGTCAGTGTGACAATTAGGTGGGGTGACAGTAGATTAATGGCTTCTGACATTCTAGAGGAGTGCATTCCAGTGCCATTGCTAATGAATCATCTCAAAGCCAGCCACAAAATATTTAACATAAACAAGTGCATGCATATAGACACAACAAGATGTAATCAGTGATGCTACTCATACACATTTAGAAATTAAAGAATATCTGAAGGATAGAGAACTTGGAATAATTGTGCATTTTTAATGTATCAATTCTTTTCCGTAAACTATTCTTAGTCTTAATGTCAAGTGACTGTAATGTGTATCTTTCACCTCAGAAAGCTACTAGATAAATGTTTTCCCTTCAGTTTTACCCAAAATAACCTCAGAGATGCCAAAACTGCCCAGGTGACAACATGAAAATATATCTTATTTTTCTCAAACAAAACCAAAAATCTGCTTCAGATAGTAAGTTATGGTAAAATCGGTAAGACTGCAGAATCATTTCTAGAGAGCTGAAATCCAGACTATAACTCTACTAAAAATGCATAAAATAGCAGTGAGATGTATTCACTGGAAATATGAAAAGGAATCGATTTTCTGAGGGAAAAATAAGCAAACAGCCTTTCGCTTGAGTCTCTGTTTCTCTGATTCACCTAATAAGCTTTGCGAGCTAGGCTTAATGCTCTTAAGGAGAGTAACACACAAAATATTGTGCTTCTGATGTGTCTTTCCAAGAGTTTCTGCTGAATGTTATAAGGGAAAAATATTGTTGTCCAAGGTTCTGGACCAGTCCCAGGATCAGAGCTGTCCATAGATTTGGACCAGGGCAGGCTGAGTTGTTCGCAATGTTGGACCAGTCCCAGGATCTGAGATGATGGTTCATTTTTAGGTTCGTTTTATGTAGCCTGTCCACAGGAAGTGAATCAGATTTGAAACTGTCCATTATGCTAATAGCTTACTGCTTGTAGCCCAAGTACCCAAGTAGGACTGGCCTCACAGCAGCAAAGCAGAGCAGCTTATTTTGGGAGCGTTTCATCCATAATCTCAATGCCTGAAAGTCTGGTGTATTTTCTATATGATTTTTTTGCAACATCTACCATCCAGAAAACTGAAAAGCAACCAATTTCCACTCTGGTTTACCATTCATGCTATAATTTCTGTTTTTCTGTCCTTATTTAACTACTTTTTATACTTGACTTTTTGTCGCACATAGTCTAAGAAAAAAGCCAGTCAAAGCAACACAAGGTGAAAATGATAACATGCGGCTGTTGATTGGATGCAGGTGAAGGTATAGTAGGGTGCGGGTAGAGAAAATTACCTTTAGGGCAGCTGCTTTGTACAGTACCACTGTATCATCATGCCTACAGGGCTGGGGGTTTAATGCCATCGGAGCCATTTGCATTCTCCCCCCATCAGGTGGTTGTGAATGATTTTGCTGCCTAGGTGCCTGGGATAGGTTCTTCTCCCCCACCCTGATTTGGATAAGCAGGTGGAAGACAGATGGATGGTGCTTTTAGGGTGATTGAATATTGTTTGTAGTGCTCTGGATCAGGAACAATGGTGCCCATTAAGACTGAATTGAATCCTAAAATACCATAACTATGGTATTTCTTGAGTGTAAAGATATCCACATGTATTTTGTGAAAGAAATATGACAGATACGTGAGCATAAATGCTAGGAAATGATACCATTTTATTTTGTAAATATAACACTCAAGCATCCATCCTAGAACTATTTAGTGCCTTTTTTGGTGTATTTGGCAGCTTGTCATACAGTAGCTGCAACACACTCTAGAGGACAAAAGAAAGACATCCAGCGGGTTTCATTTTTTGTTCTCCTGGCTGGTGAGAAAAATTTAATGAGAGCCCCAGACAACAGAGAAGCATTGTGCTGGATTTTGGACCCGTGCCTGTTCAAGGCTTATTTTGTCTCGCTAACACTTCCTGGTGCTGATATGGTCCCATGTGGCCCAGACGGTTTGTGTGTAGCTCTTGCTGTGCCAGCCGTAGCATTTTCCCAGTTCTCCCGTGGCCCACGCCTGTTGTGCACTTCATCTGCTCGCCTACTGGGTGGCAAACATTATGCAAGCATTAAGAGAAAAGCGCTGGGCAAAACCTAAATGGTGACCCTGTAGCCAATACCAGTGTGGAACACTGACTGTGATTTAAACCCTCCAATGAAGACGTACTATACTGTAACCCCCCCAGGACTTCAGCCAATCGGGGATTTGGGAGTGAGCATGGCCACTCATTTTAGAGTACAGTTGAATTCTCAGCATCTGATTGGATGGTTGGTCTGTTTGTGGGGTTTCTGAAACCTTTCATATGTCTACAGACAACAATGGGGCAACCTAGGAGGCCCCCTGCTGATTGCAAGTTTTTTTTTTAGTAACAAAACCCATAGATCAAATGTCCACTCCAAACCATTTATACAACAAATTTTGTTACAATTGTATAATCTATAGTAATATATCTTACACTTGGTCAATCGATCCACCGGTGCGGTACATCCTCCTCCGGATCAGTGAATTTTACAGAGAAGATTTCTGCCCCCACCCTGATTGGCAAGTGTCACTGCTGCCCCCCTGTGTCTTGATTAACATATTACTGATGTTCCACCATTTTTTAAAATTCCCCCTTGTTTCTCTTTCAGCTCCAAAAAAAGAGCTAAACTGGCCCCATTAAAGACCCCCTCCCAATGACAGCCCCTGCTGATTCCCAAGCCAGGAGGCTCCACTCAGTGTCCTGCCTCAAACCAAAGTTACAATGTTATGCTAATTTAAATATACTGCCATTGAGCCTTTGACAAATAAGTGTATTTTAAATAAGTATATGTCTTGCGAGTTGAAGCAAACTTTTTTTTGGGAGGCAGTCTATGACTTAGAAGGTCGTCAGTTCTAATCCTGTGCCGAGTAGCCACATTTCAGCAGGGTTCTTAACCCCTGAAGAATGGCTGATCCTGTACTCAGAGCCTAAGCTTCACTTTCACCTGTGCGTGTGGCTTAAATGGTTTGGGAAGCGTGCTTGTAATTGAAGGATTGCTGGTTTGAATCCCCGACCAGTAAGGCACCACTGAGGTACCCTAAGCAAGGTACTGCTCCCAATCATTGCTCCCTGGGTGCTGAATTAGCGGCCCCCTGCTATGTCATGATGTCGCATATGGGTTAAATGCAGAGGACACATTTCGTTGTTGTGCTGTGGTGTGTCACCAATGATCACTAAATTCAAAAAGAGCAAGATGGGATGTGTGAAAACCAGCACATTTAAGTGGACCTGTTCTTGTACAAATGGCAGATTGAGATTACAGAAAACTGACCTTACATTTCATTCCCAGTCATCTTTTCACGTAACACAGTTAAAACTAGAAAATACTTAGCATACGTTTTTTTACATTTGCAAGTATAATGGCCGTGTGACAAGAGGAGATTATTTTCTTAATGTAAAATAACACTGAAGAAATTAAATGACACGGCAGTGACTTTCATACCATGGGAAATGCTTTCAGCAGGTAAACGCTCATTACAAACTATGCCCATCAAACTAGATAAACGAATAAATAAACGTCAAACACTTTGCACACATGCAAATCATCCGCCCTCCAGAGGGTTAAAATAATTAATTGCATGTGGAAGAAATTAATTCTTTCAACAAACCATGAAGAAATGTAAAAGAATCTAATTTCCCTGGTACTTACATAGATGTGCAATTTAGCATGCTAATGAATTTCAGTTATGAGTAGAACAGCAGGCTGGCTTTTGCTGTTTGTAATTTACAAAATGGCTGAAATAGGTATAAGTGCTGGGCTGGAAGTCAAATATGGAGTATAATAACAACAGCAGCAGCAATAACAACAACAGCAACAATGACAATAACAGCAACAACAACAACAGCAATAACAGTAATAATAATAATAATCATAATAAAGTATATTTCATTTTATACTATGTTTTTTATCATGTTCATACCATATTTTTGCACAAACTGCCTGAAAATTACAGTATGACTGGAGTAATGTTCAAGTAATTTCCAGTGTCTGTGCATGCCTTAACAAATAACATTCACTAGGTGGTGCTCTGTATTACTGCATGTACAACTGAAATTATTTCATGAACACAAGGTAACAAACATTTGTATATCTTGTTTTGTCAATATATAATTTCATGGGATGAATTATATTCCTTTATACAACAGGACAAGTTGTATTAGTACAGATTTATTTCATCATATTTTTATTTTGACACAAACTGATAAGACTGAACTGATGACAAATTCAGCACTGCACCTTTAAAAGGAGGCCTCGGGAGGCCACACCCCCTTTCTCTTTCTCACCCTCGGGGTGACGTCACCGCGGCTTCCCCAGCCGTTAGACTAATGATGCTGGGAGCTGAGCAGTACTGATTTTTTTCTCTCTTCCCAACGTGGATGTCAGTCTATCTCACTCTGCACTGTCTCTCTCACTGGTGCTCTGGCTGAGAATCGGGGAATCTGGGAATCAGATTCTCCTCTCTTTTCCTCTTCTCTCTCTTTTTCTTTCATTTTTTTCTCTTTTTTAGCAGGGATGTAGTACTCTTCATTCCAGATTAACTTCAGCAACTCTTTGGCTGTCTGACTTGCTTTTGCTGGCTGTCCAGGTTTTTTTTTCTCTGTCTTTGGTCTTTTATCCTTTTGCTGCATTGGTTCTGCATTGGTTCTACATTGGTTTTGCTTGGTTTTCTGACTGGTTTCCAGGGACCATGGCCCTGAGGGAGAGCATCCTGCCCATCAGTGAGGTGTCAGGTCCCTTCCCTGAGGTGGTGGAGCTCAACGTCGGGGGCCAGGTGTATGTCACCAAGCACTCGACGCTGGTCAGCGTGCCAGACACCACGCTGCATGCCATGTTCTCTCGCCGGCCACTCCGCGACCTGCCACGCGACAGCCGCGGCCGCTTCTTCATTGACCGCGACGGTTTCCTCTTCCGCTACGTGTTGGACTTCCTGCGTGACCGGCAGCTGGTTCTTCCCGAGCATTTCCCCGAGAAGGAGCGGCTCCAGCGGGAGGCTGAGCACTTTCAATTGGCGGAACTCCTCCGGCTGCTGGGACCACGTGTGGCTAAGCAGAGCTCCGGCAACGACGAGGGCTGCCAGAGCGACATCGAGGAGAACTCGCAGGGCAGCGACCTGGCTCGTACCACCTCGGACAAGCGCTCAGGCTTCATCACCCTTGGCTACCGCGGTTCCTACACCACGGTGCGTGACAACCAGGCCGACGCCAAATTCCGCCGAGTGGCACGGATCATGGTCTGCGGCCGCATTGCCCTGGCCAAGGAAGTCTTTGGCGAAACGCTCAACGAGAGTCGGGACCCGGACCGTCCCCCGGAAAAGTACACCTCCCGCTTCTACTTGAAGTTCACGTACCTGGAGCAGGCCTTTGACCGCCTCTCAGAGGCTGGGTTCCACATGGTGGCTTGCAACTCCACTGGGACGGCTGCCTTCATCAACCAGTACAGGGATGATAAAATCTGGAGCAGCTACACAGAGTACATCTTCTTCAGTAAGTGAAGAACGGTCCTCCAGTCTCTGACAGCTACATGCATAAATCGCACTTTTATTTACTCACTGCGCGTGGGCTGCTGGACATTGCAATGGGTGATTTCAGTAAGCAAAGCATGGCATTTTAATAAGCAGAAAATAGCGGTGGTTGTTGGTCTTTAGGTAATAGGACTGGTCATGGAGGCCTATTAACAGGGTGGATTATGCGGAGGTAGGAACGGGGCTGAACTGGGATTAAAAATGGACCCTGGACTTTGGGGTTCCCATGATAAATTTTGCTGCTCCACATACCACGAAAATGCCCGGCGTGCCCAATGGCCAGTACAGTCCTGCATAGAAACATTACGGGACGATTATACAGCATTTGTCAGTTATGAGAAATCCTGTTTTCTGCAGCTTGTGGGAAAGGTTGGTGAGATATACAGCAGAGAGCACTTGGCATTGGCCCAGTGATACCTCTGCAGGCATTCAGCAGACACCTTTGCTGCACTCCATTGCTTTGTGCCATGAAAGCTTCGGCTAGAGAGAGGAAGCTCGGTCACTGCTGAGGACGCCCCACTGAGTACCGTCAGTGGAATGTGTCACTCTGGCACTCTTACTGAATCACTGGGCATATTGCAGCCTTGCAGACTCAAGGAGACACAGAGAAGCAGGAAGAGAGAGGGAGAGACAGGAAGAGACAGAATCCACACAAAGTATCAAGATTATTGCCCTATAAAGTATCAACGAAGGGAAATCTCAGCACTGGAAGTGAATTATAGCAGAAGAATCAGAAGTCTGAGGTTGTAGCATTTAAACAGAAAATTCAGCGAAGCTTTCCGTAGGTGGCCTTTGATCATGGCAGGCAGTAAATGAGACGCAGGCTCAGGCAGGACACCTGCTGCTGCTGTTTTTCACCTGAGCAGGATTTCGAGTGGGGCTGTTAATTAAGCAGCACGGTTCAGAGAAATTAAATAATGCCTGGTCATGATCTGAAATCTCCCCTTTGAAACCTGACTGTGGATATTGTGGGAAGTAGAGTTGATATGCAGCTTTGCATTTGATATGATATAAAATATATCTAATACTGCCTCTCAGTGCTGGATCTCTGAAGTTCATTGTAGGTCTATAACTCCTGCAATTAGTCACACTGACGTGTTAATGCAGTGGTGAATTCTTATCCGATCTAAAGTACTTGCTGTATAAAATCTCTTTAGAGTTATGTAGCATTTAGTAGCACGTGTAACATACACAAAATTATCACGGACTGTAGATCTGAAATAACTGAATAATGAATGAATTAGCCTTTCAGAATAGAACAAATAAAATTGCTTTATTAACAGGATCTTTTAGGGAATTGTTTACAATGAATGCACAGCTTGAGGTTATTGGTGTTAGCAGGGAATCTACTGGAGTCCAATATATACAAATGAATAACAATAGGTCCTGTAAATGACTAGCATTTGGTAATTGCTGCTCAGGTCCCTAAGATGAACATGCTTGCCAGGGTGCAGTAGCGAGGTCTCGCTGTGAAAATAACTGGGTCCTGCTGAAATGTGGGGCATTTCACAAGACCACATGGGGGGGGGGGTTTCCATGGCTTCCGGGCACTGTATTCTGCCGATGTCTGTGCTCCTCACAGACAGGAAGCACCTGGGAGGGCATCCTCCTTTCCTCTCTTCTCTCTCCCCCTCTATAGCTAATCTTCCCCTCACTCTTTTTCTCCCACCACTTTCACTCTCGCTTCCCTTCTTATCGTCACCCTTTCATATAATTTCATGGGATGAATTATATTCCTTTCTACAACAGGACAAGTTGTATTAGTACAGATTTATTTCATTATATTTTTCTTCCCCCACCTCCATCCTTTATTTCTCTCCGTTTTCTGCTGCTTTTAATGTATTCCAGTTTTTTTTTCCTGCTTTGAAAAAGCCTTTCCCCCTCCATTCCTTATCATTTTCACATCCCGTCCTGAATCTGCTCCGCAGCAAAGTCCCTGAGATTCTCATTTTGCCTCTTCCTCTTTTCCTGCTGCCTTCATCCTTCTTTCCGATGGTCTCTCATGCCATCCTGGCTGTGGCGTGTGTTTTGGGGGAGTGTCTCCCTGTCATGCCAGGATCCCGTTTTTTGCACCACTGACCATCGAGTCACGTGAACAAATGTTTCATTTGTGAAAAGACAGTCTTAACATTGCCTGGAGCACAATGATAAACTACCATATCAAGCAGGGGAAACGTGTAACCAAATTCTATATCCTTTCCTTCAATACTGTGGTTAGACGGTGCAAAACTTGCTGAAACCTTAGCTGTACAATAAACCTGTTCAGGCAAATTTGTAATTATTACATTGTAGCGACCCAAGTTCCATATAATGTGATAAAAGCCTGTAACGTTTTACCTTATGGGCACATTTTACAAAAATCTGTGAATTCAATCAGAAAAAAAACAAGAATTCCCAAAGTCTTGTTTTTTGTTTGATTATTTATGGTTAAGGTTAGGGCTGGGTGGGGGTTAAGGTTGTCATAAATAGGATTATGGTTAAGCCTACAGAAATGAATGGAGAGTCCCCATACAGATATGAATAGGTGGACTGTGCTATGTGAAGAATTTGACTAAGATCTACTTCAGTTTTCAGGCAAATCCATTCCAGAAAAGCTCCTTTAACATGCAAAGTGGAAACGCAGATCCTGTCTAAGCATTAACATCAGCCTGCCTCCAGTAATGAACTTCTCAGAAAGCATGCTGCACAGTTGCCCTTTACACAGAATCGATCCGTGATCAATATGTAAGCATCCTACAGCGGCCATGTATCATAGTGCACTCATTAGCTGTGGGGTGTCTCGTGTGAGGTGTTAATGAATTCCAGTGATGGATATCTTTGCATTTTTTTCTGGTCAAAATGCTCAGTCTATAGAGCAATGCAGACCTCAATGCTCAGTGAAGGTTAGTTCCTTGGCTAATGAGTGTTTGTGGGGGGTGTAGGGTGGGGTCATATATATATATATATATATATATATTACTTTGTGGGAACCAAATGTCCCCACAATGTGATTAAAGACCTGTTAGTTTGAGGTTGTGGGACCACCTATTCGGTTCCCACAAGGGGAAACTCAATTTTATAAAAATCTGTCAGTGCAATCAACTAAAAATGCCAGAAGACTTGTATTTTGTTTGGTTACTTATAGTTGAGGTTTGGGCTGGGTAGGAGCTGTCATGCTTTAGATTAGAATTTTTTCCTGTATAAATGAATAGCGAGTCCCCATAATGATATGAAAACAATGTTGGTGTGTGTGTGTCTGTGTGTGTGTGTGTGTGTGTGCACGTATGGGAGGGCAGGGAAGTCCAATGATCTAACAGGGCATGAAGTGATCCCAGTCTTTGCCTTCTCCTGTTAAAGGGAGGGGGGGGGGCAGTGATTCAAGACATCATGATGTCATTACTCTTAGAGTTTTTCTGACTGACATGGTAAACTGTCTGCTGACAGTCTAACAGAATAGGTAATGTGCCAATAAATAAATAATGTATTTAAATATAAAAAATAACATCAAAAGGCTTTTTCAAATTACCATTATGCATGCAACTTTAATTTGACATGAATGGAGGCATAGGTGATTTCTATACATAATACATATCACTTATTGGCCAGTTCTCTCCCCTGCACCATCCAAGTCTCTGTAATTCATGCAATATTCATCAGCCACGTTCACACACTGTGTTTATATACTATTTAATCATTTAGCTTCTGCCTATATCTACAGTAGCTAAAGATTGTAACTGATGTTACTTTATAATTTGCAATGAAAAATAAGAAACATTTAGTTTTAATCCTTTTAGGATTTAGGACGGAAAATAAGTGAATTTTAATCAGACATGACCAGCTCCTGAGCATACAGTGAGACATCTTTCTGTTTTTACACAGATAATTTTGGGGGAATAGAGGCAGCTAGGATTTTGAAATGTTTTTTTTATTTTTTTTATTCATGAAGGAGGCTGACTGGCAGTAGGTCTGACTTTGCCACGCACATTATATAAGCAAATGCGCAGTAACGGTATTTTTAACCTAACCGACCGATGTCTACCCACCATTGCACTTCTAATTGCAGGGACCAATGTTGCCTCATAATCTGTCCTCAGCTCTGTATGCTTGAGTACATTTCCTCCAGCGTGTGGGTTTTTTTCTGGGTATTCTTGGTTCGTCCTACAGTCGAATCGTGCATTTCAGGTAAATCGGCAATACGTGCGCATACCCTGCCTTGCGCACCACTGCGCCCTCTACTGGCTGAGTGACTCTTGTAAATTGATGAATTCCATGAGAAACAGTTAGATGTAAAGCAGTATATAACGCAGTATATAACAGTACATAACACAGAGCCTGATGTATTTGAGACATTTAAAAGATGGAGCTGTTACTCACCATCTGAGTCAGTCACAGCAAACTACTTCTGACCTTTGACCTTGATCATAAAATACAGATGTCTACCTGAAAAAGGCATCATGATAAATTAGAAATCATGACTTTTATAACCCCTCATTCAAAGTATACAGAAGGGAAAGTGTTTTACCTTTGTGAAGTGAATCAATCTCAATGAGCAATACGAACAAGGTAACATGCACAGCCGGCAGTCATTTAACCATCATGTCAGTACAGTGAGACAAAAACAACAGTTTGACAGCTGTCACACAATAAGTGATTTCAAACATGATCTATTGTTTTTATTGACAAAATCGTTAAGAAGGAATATCATTTGAAAGGTATTATTGATTTATCTGCATAAAATTACTTATTTAAGCAACAAAGCAACTGCAGGCAATGTGAAAATTTGAGTGAGATCATTTTCACAGGAACACAGGTTATTGCATTGATCTGTTGAACAAGTTTTGTTGGCTACCTGGAAACACACAGAAAAATGGTCTGTGTTTGGGTTCTGTAGCTTTTGTGTTTTTTGTTTATTCTTGGCTTGCTTTTGACATCACGGTGAAAGTTCCCTGCATTTGCTCTCGCTTCTCATCCAAATTTCTTCAT